AAAAGAAAAAAAAAGTCGGACAACAAACTCTCTTTCAAATTTTAAATATTAGTCGTTTTGACAAACTGAATCTGTTATGCATTTATCTGTGATGTGTATTATTATAGAAAAATATAGCAGCTGGCGAAACTGGCAGTGGAAGCACGCAGTCGTCATGATAGATATTGGAGATTATGTTTATGTTCTATGCAACGGATAAAAAAAACTATTAAATATTAATGCTATTCGCTCAAAATAGTCATAAACCTGTTACTTGCGTCAAAATACTAAACCTGCAAAAAGACATGACACCTCCATGCATATAATTTAGATTGTCGGAGATTAGAGTGTAATTTACACGTCGATTTCTTATAATTTCTAAATCAATTGTCATATTTAAAACTATATAAGCATTATCATAAGTCACAAATTACCTTAAGCAGAGGCCAGAAATGATTTTCTTTTTCAAAAACCCGAAATGTTATAATTCTTGAAGTGAGGATAATCTTTCGTAATTTTTGAAGTCAATCTGATTACAATTGGGGTTAACTAAGTGCAAATCAAAATCTACTTAGGACTCTACTATTTTACTCTAGGTCAGAATTGCACCAAACTCGAAGCACAGTTGGGCCAGTGTTGGTGCCCTTGTCCTTCACCTTTTAGTCGCTATCTCCGGCCCTGACCGATCCTACTTGGATTCTCCACAATTCACACTCTTCATCAATGAGTCCGTGCTAAAAAGTAATTCGTGTAGATACAGATACAGAGAATGAATCTATATCTATGAACGGAAGTCTTTGAGATGGCTGTTAAACTATTCAAACGTAATGCAGTAGTGTTGATTCCACTTCGGAGTAGAACGTTATTGACAAACTCCCAACATAGTATTTTCTCCGTTTCTGTGAACCTATTTCATTTAGTCCATATTCAAGTCAAGATTCACCAACTCACATACATCTATCTACAACGAACAGATATCAGAACAAGACTCCGAGGCGTTGAGTCCATAACTTATTCTACATTAATGTAGGTTTTAGGGTTGTAAATTTGGGGAAGAAGAAGGAGATTTATTTTGTTTTAACCGGGTTGGGGTTAGGGATTTGTTTTGTTATAACCGGGTTGGGTTTGGGGATGAGTAGTGGACCTAACTAAGGTTAGAATTAAGTGGGGCTGGGGTTATTTCGGATAAATAATAACATGACACATGGAAATTCAAGTGTAATAAATATTTAAAAAAAAAAATCCCTCCGTTAGACAAATAATGGCATAGTTGGGCCATTTCTTTAACGGCAATGGCATGGATATAGCAAATTTTTAACGGATGACATCAATAGGCCATTTCTGAAAGTTCAGTGGCATTTTTAGGCCTTTTCCGTAGTTATAAGGAAAAGATTTTGCTACATCTAAATTTAAAAATCGGTAAATTTGTGGTATATATCACTCAATTCATTGGTTTTTTTTCCTTAAAACATATGCCAAATTGGTATAACTAATACTTAAAAATTCAATCACATATATAATTCAAGTAAAACAGGTAGAGAATAGTGCGGAAAATGATCAAATGATTGAGCTGAAATAGATTGTTAGGGTTGTAGCTGACCAGTAACTTGCTGAGTGATATTGAGACCTATATTGCGCGGACTCTCCAACATAATGCCGCATCCGTGTCGGATCCGAGCAACATAGATTGAGACCCATTTGTTTCGTATAGGTATATCATTAACGGAAGCAACGATTAAATTCCATTATCCAAACTCCACAATAATTATTCATAATTCCTTATCAAATCAAAAATTGGTCAGTCTTAACAAATATGCACAAACTATCTTTCATACCACCATTTGCAATCAAATTCTGTCATCAACACACACACACACCCCAACCAAAAAAAAAGTAAGTAAAAATGCTAGAATTACTTTTTTCGATAATATTGGTATGTAAGCCAATTTGTGATCATATTACTGTCCACAAACACATATATCGAATAGCTTTATCCGCAAAGGAAAAGAGGCTAGAATTGCATTAACAGACATATTTACATTAATTCCTTTTGCATGTTACAACATCAGTATTGTTGTACTCAGATTAGGTTCAACATTTTTAAAATTAAGAAAAGAAGAGATGATAATTCAGAGAATAAAACATTCCTAAGCTACCATATTTTTGAGTTTGAGATTACCCGGTACTTCTGTTCTTACCAGTATTCAAGTTCTGGGTCTTCGGGCTCGGGCTTCACATTTAAATCGGGCTTCTCCTGAAACCAGCCCGGCTTTAATTGGGCCGGGCTTCCATTTTCACAACAATGGTTTCTAGATTCGCGTGGTCGTTGCTGGTCATGGTCATGGTCGTGTTTATGTATAGCCAGAGAGTTTTGAATAGCGTCAACTCTAGCACCAACTTCTACAGCTTTCTTACGAATAGAAGCAGCAGACAAATCACTAAGCCCACCATCTCCAACTAATAGTTCAGGGAAATTCAACCGGGCCGAAGGGCCGCGAAGATAGTAAACAGCCGTATCATAAGCTCGGGCCGCCGCCACCGGCGTTGAATACGAGCCCAACCATATTCTGGACCGCTTATTGGGCTCTCTAATTTCAGCAACCCATTTTCCCCACTTTCTCATCCTTATTCCTTTATAAATTCTCTCTTTTTTAATCTTCCCGGAGCAACACCCTCCTCCGCCTCCAACCACCGTAGCACCGCCACTTCTGCCGCCATCAACTTCCATCTTTCTTCCAGTATAAGCCCTCTTTCTGTATCTATCTGGTTTGGATATAATATTTGGAGTTAATTACAAAATTAAAAAGAAAATATTTCCTTGTAATCTAGAGGAATACCCATGAAATGGGAAGAAAGGATTTTGGGGTGGCTTATGACTGACAACTTGGGTACTATGCTTTTCCACGTTGATTTTATTTTAAGGAAAAATTATCTCGATGAAAGAAACTGAAAAAACAAATATCTAAAGGCACCGACACAATGTCTATCTCATGCGCGCGCTCTCTCTCTCTACAATAGTCTCTCCGTTCTAATTTATGCGAACTTGTTTAATGGGGCACGGATTTTAAGAAAAAATAAAGACCTTTAGAATTTGTGGTCCTAAACAAGTCAAAAAGGACTCCAGAGTATTTATGTAATTATAAAAGCTTCTCATTAAAGGTAGGATTGTAAGTTTAAGCTAAATTGTTACCAAATTTAGAAATGGATCATTCTTTTTGGAACGGACCAAAAAAGCAAATAGGTTCACATAAATTGGAACAGAGGGGGTAGTATATTTCTATTTTATTTATTATTTCCTATATTTAAAAGATTGTCTAAATTTGACATAGCACAAATTTTAATAAAGAAGGAAATACTTTTAAAATATGTAACTTAAATAAGCTATAGTTATTTTTGTGTCTGTTAAACTTTTAAAATTTGTGGTCCTTCGGCCCGGTGTTAAAAAAGCATCAGCGGTCCTTCGAAAAAATGTTGAAATTTTTTTTAAACGGACTAATAAAGAAAGAGTGCAATCTTTTTAAAACAGATGGAGTATTCAAAATGTTAGTTATCAGATAGGGTAGGTGAGTTAATGGATCATTAAAACCGATTATACCGATCGAATCGAACCATACCGAACTGATTATTAGATTTCTTTTAATAAAATTATATGTTTTTATATAAATTTTTAACTGTACCTAATAATAGTTTGATAAAAATAGCCGAAAAAATATCGAACCGTAAATAAATTTATATATGAAAAAAATATTTTATATATTAATTTTGAAATTAATAATTTATTTTTTCATGGCCCTTGGGATTATGGAGATAGCTACAGGTGGCCAAGTAATTAACACCTAAAATCTCAACTTTTACACCTATTATGCAAATCCTATTGAAACTAAATTAGTTCTAACATCTTGAGTAGCAAGTCATAAAGTATTCCAGCGTATAGCAAGCCATAAGATATTGGATCTTTTTCCTTGCGTATGGTTTATATTTCTGCAATCTTCTAATAAATTCTATTCTTGAGTTCCAACTTGATTAGTAATTTTCCACTCGTGTGATTTATATTTCTCTTATCTTTGCCTAATTTATTTTGCACTATCATAGAATAGTGAATCTTTGTTCCGGACATCTTTCATGTTCATTTGATTCATCACTTCTAAATAGTAAACATGTCTAGAGAGTTTTGCCATGTCCTAACAAGTATGTATTTATCGCATTTTAGCTTTTATTAATGAATCTTTTATGACATCCTAAAAAAATATCAAAAATCTTTACCAATGTCAAAGAGAAACCAACATGATTGAGACATTTTCGAAAGTCTAATTTTGATTATATAAAATAAAATAACCGAAAAATTCGTGTGATACAAATTTTATAAAATTTTAGCCGAACCGAACCGTTGACACCCATACAGACAGGATTGTGATGGAATTGATAAGATCTCTTTATCCTTATTTAGAAGTCTCGAATTCGAACCCTAAGAATCAAAATACTTTTCCTTGAATGAATCTTATATGACATACCTCCAAAAATTAATCGAAGTACAAAGCAAATATAAATATCGGGCGAGAAATAAAAAAAACAAAATATTACTCCCTCCGTTCCAATTTATGTGAACTTATTTCCTTTTTGGTCTGTTCCAAAAAGAATGACCCCTTTCTAAATTTGGAAACAATTTAGCTTAAACTTACAATTTTACCCTTAATGAAAAGCTTTTATAACCACACAAATACTCTGGGCCCCTTTTTGACTTGTTTAGGACCGCAAATTCTAAAAGGCTTTAATTTTTATAAACTCTGTGCCCAGTCAAACAGGTTCACATAAATTGTAACAGAGGGAGTCTACTTGTACCTCATGAGAGATGGTGGCTGTTACTAGTTGGCCGCCAGCCATGTTGAAAGCTCCCCCAACTCCTCTCACACTCATTATAAAGGTGTAGTTGGATATGTTATGTCGAGGAAGAGGCAAATCCGAAAATAAAGAAGATAAAAACACCAAATTTTAACGTGGAAAACCCTTCAAATCGAAGGTAAAAACTACGGGATCACAAAGATCCAAAAAACTCCACTATAACAATAAGAGGGTTACAAAAGTTCTCCAAATTGGCTACACAATAAGGGCCAAACACGGAGCAACAATAGCAACAAGAGCAACAACTAATCAATTGAAGAAAGAGTATAATCCACAAAACGAAGCTGCTGTTCGAGGCTCGAAATCAGATGCTACGAGCCTCCAAATCCGATCTCCACAGTTCAAATCTAAGACAAGGATGTTACGAACACTCAGTCAAAATTTTAGCCCGATCCAACGGTTAACGAATCGAAAACGTGATTTGAAGTTGGCTGGTCGGAATAAAAATCTGCAGCAAAACAAATACTTTTTTTTCTCTCTTCTCTCTTGATGAAAGCTCTCTCAAAACCCACTCTTATGTGCTTAAGTCTTTCAAAGACTTGTATCAATGAGCATAGAATAATTCTCCAAGGTTGTCCTATTTATAGATCATGAGTGGTGCTTTCTCTTAAAGCCAAAACCCACTCAAAATAGGAATAAACCGAACCCAATTCCAAATAGGATTGGAAACCAAAAGAGAATAGGATTAGGCCATTGGGCCTTTGGCTGGACAACATGGGCATGTGCCCAACAAACTCCCCCTCCAGCCAAGGGGCCGAATGTGTCTTCAGGTAGAGGAACTATTGACAGGCTTCATGCCTGCCAATTTTCTACAAAATTCATGTTTATCTGCAATCACCGCCTTTGTCAGCATATCCGAAGGATTTTCATCAGTGTGTATCTTCTCAACCTCAAATAATTTCTCTTCCACGGCCATTCTTATCCAATGGTACTTTCTATTTATATGTTTGGTCTTAGAATGAAAAGTGGAGTGCTCGGTGAGACAGATAGCACTCTGATTATCACAAAATAAGATGTACCGTGGCTGCTCAAAGCCAAGATCATTAATAAACTCCTTCATCCATAATACTTCTTTGGCACCTTCTGTGACAGCAATATATTCGGCTTCTGTGGTGGATAGAGCTATGCACTTCTGTAATCTAGATTGCCAAGAAACAGCTCCCCCCTGCAAAAGTGATCAAATAACAGGAAGTGGATCTTGAATTATCAAGATTGCCTCCTAAATCAGAGTCTGTGTAACAAACAAGTTCAGGCTTGCCATTGCCAAAGCACAGCTTCAAATCTGCAGTACCTTTTAAATACCTTAATATCCATTTTACTGCATCCCAATGTTCTTTTCCAGCATTGGAAATGAATCTGCTAACAGTACCAATGGCATGTGCAATATCTGGTCTAGTGCAAACCATAACATACATCAAGCTACCAACGGCAGAAGAGTAAGGAATACGAGACATCTCCTTTTTCTCTTCGTCAGTAGATGGACTCTGACTAATACTCAATTTGAAGTGTTTTGCAAGAGGAGTACTAACCAATTTTGCATCTGTCATATTGAACCTCTTGAGTACCTTCTCAATGTATTGCTTTTGGGACAGAAATAACTCATTTCTATCTCTGTGTCGGTGGATTTGAATGCCCAAGATTTTCTTTGCTGGCCCCAAGTCCTTCATCGCAAACGATTTGCTCAACTGCTTCTTAAGGACTGCAATTCTGGATTTATTCTTTCCAACAATAAGCATGTCATCCATATAAAGCAATAAAATAATAAAATCATCATCAGAGAACTTCTGGAAGAATACACAGTGGTCTGAAGAAGTTTTCTTGTACCCTTGTTCTTCAATGACAGATTCAAACTTCAAATACCATTGCCTTGGAGCTTGTTTCAATCCATACAGGCTCTTTTTCAATTTGCAGACATAATTTTCTTTTCCCTTAGTTACAAAACCCTCAGGTTGCTCCATATAAATCTCCTCATCTAAATCACCATGAAGAAAAGCAGTCTTGACATCCATCTGCTCAACCTCTAAATCTAGACTTGCGGCTAAGCCTAGAAACACATGAATAGAAGACATCTTCACACAGGGGAGAAAATTTCATCAAAGTCAACTCCCTTCTTCTGGCCAAAACCTTTAACAACTAACCTCGCCTTGTATCTAGGCGCAGAGGTATGGTTATCTTGCTTTATTCTGAATATCCATTTGTTAGATAAAGCTCTCTTACCTTTCGGCAATTTCACTAACTCATATGTGCCATTCTCATGGAGTGACTTCATCTCATCTTCCATCGCTTCGATCCAATGATCTTTGTGATTATCTTGCATGGCTTCATCATAATTCTCAGGTTCTCCCATGTCAGTCAAAAGTACATACTCATCAGGAGGATAGCGCATGGATTTTTGCTTCTCCCTTGTAGATCTTCTAAGAGAGGTTTCAGGAGCATTCATAGTAGTTACCTGTGCAGGAATTGGTTGCTGATCAACCACAACTTTATCAACTGGAGCATCCATAACATCTACACCATGATGATCATTTTGATCTTGATCACTATCTCCATCATTGTCTTGGGTTCCTTCATGTGCAATAGGTGCCTTAGCAATTGGAACTGGATCAATATCAACTAAGCTCTCATTACTCTGAGAATCTATCTTCTCAGCTTTGTCAATATCTTCAATAGTTTGGTCTTCAAAGAATATTGCATCACGACTTCTAATAAGTTTATTATCAATTGGATCATAAAAACGATACCCAAACTCATCTTGACCATAACCGATAAAGATGCACTGCTTAGTTTTGACATCCAGTTTCGATCTCTCATCTTTAGGAATATGCACACAAGCTTTACACCCAAAAACTCTCAGGTGATCATAAGAAACATCTTTGGCAAACCAAACTCTGTCTGGGATATCACCATCCAAAGCAACAGCAGGAGACAAATTGATAACATAGGCAACAGTGTTAAGTGCTTCCGCCCAAAATGTATTTGGAAGTTTAGCCTCTGAAAGTAAGCATCTAACTCTCTCAACTAGAGTTC